TGAATCCCGCTAATGACCCCTTGACCTTTTCTCTACTGCCACACTGAGGTTCATATCGGTGCTTTGAATTGAACTATCTCACTATGAAATCTGATAATTAGTAAATCTTAGAAGGCATTAAACCGCTGTAACTGTGACTGATAAGTGGTCATCATTATACCTGCTTAACATCTACATGCCACAGATGTGTTTCAAGTCTATTTAGGATCATTTTGTGGTTATTTTTACAAATCTTAGTGGTGATTTTGTATCTCTTTTGCATTTCTCAGCAGCTGTTTTGATGTTTTCTGGTGCTTGTTTTGCATCTCTTTTTAGTCTATGTTGTTTCTTAGTAGTCAGTTTGCATCCCTCTCTGGTTGTTTTGAAGTTGTTTTCTATCTCTATCCCTCTTGGCGTCATCTCAAATCAGTTTTGTATCTCTCAGTGGCCTCCTTGCACATCTTTTGTGTCCTTTTTGTGCCTCTTTGTATGCATTTTTTTGCAGCTCTTTGTAAGTCTTTCTGTAGTTGTTTTGAATCCTGTTTGTCTTCTTTACTGTTTTGTATCTCTTGGTGGTAGTTTTATTGATTTTCCATCATGTTGGCATTTTTATTGTCAGCATTTAGCTCAAAGCATCGCTGTGCCAAAGTGCTGCATCACAGAGCCCACACTATAGCTGGAGACAATCTTGTTTATTTTACTGTAAAGTACAAGAAAATAACCATCATCTCCTTCCACTGACCTGTAAGCCTCTTATGCCTGGTTATCCTGTTGGTTCCAGGTCTGTTCAGCCTCCTGTGACCATGACTGGACTGTATACCAGCATGCATCATACACAAGGCTGGTTCTTTCAGCGGTATGCTGCGGTAACTTCTGCCATGACCAGTTTTTCTTCAGGCCCGTCTCCTCTGCACCCAGTACCACAGTGGTGCAGTGGCATCCCTTACATCGAGCCTTCACTCAGCATGACTGCTCCTTTACCTCCCGCAGTATATTCACAGCACTCTCCTGCATCGTCTGCTCTCAGGCAGCAGATATTATCTGGTGACTGATTAGATCTTAATTTGTAATCCACACATAGCACAAAAGCAGTGAAGAAATCGGAGCTCTGTTTTCTCCATTGAATCGCCTTTAAGCATCTGTGCCTTTGGCGAGGAGGCAGCTGCCTTTGAAGGGGCAGATGCTTCCGAGAACCAATGGAGGGTAAAGATGGAGAGCAAAGACGGTTGCCCCACCAGTTCACAGGTTTAAACAATTTGTGTATCCTGAAGGAGGAAAGTTGTCATGAGTGTGGCAAACTTCACTGTTATTATATGTTGCTTATTGATACAGAATCTTGAGGAGCATCGCAAAGCTACGTACTAACTCTCTGACTCTGAGGGTTAAATTAAACATAATATTAGCTTTTTAAAGTCTGGAAGCTGAAACAAGGCGGCTCAGATGAGACGTCTAGTAAAAAGCCGAGCTCTTCCACTTTGCACTTATATGGACTTCACCGGTTAAAGCAAGAAAAGCGGATTAGAGAAGACGTTATGAAAAGAAATTAAGGCATGACATGACTTTTTTCTGTGTTCAACACATATTTTAATCTAACAGAATAATGCATAAAAGCTCAGACGGCAGGCTTCAAGTACAATAACCTGAATATATCCTTGTAGCAAAATCAGATACGGACAGCTGATAATATATTTTTTGAGCAGCTCTGTATATTGTGATGTAATGTAGATGCAATCCTCTGGACATTTTTCTTTTTATTGGGCTTTGATGATACGGATAATTCACTTTTGTGTTACCTTACGGAAAGAAAACGTAATAAAGCTTTATTATATTATGAAAAATATATTACTCATTTGTAATTTTAAAAATGTGTTTGTAATATAATCACACAGATTTTGTAAATTATGAGTTCCCCCGTGTGTGTGTGCAGTAGCTTCGTGTGTGCACTTGTGTAAACTGGTTGTTAACGTTGATTTCTAACTGCTCATAGCAGGATTTTAAATCAAAATTCCATCTGACGCGCAAACATTAAGAACCTCAGTGCAGTCCTGCAAACTGTATGTAAAACAAGGCGAGACTGACAGATATTTATGTCCCCTTGTCCCGGCTGAAGGCTTGTTTTTCTGCATCAGGCTGTATGGATATCAGCGAGGGTTATAGGGGTGGAGAGGAGCAATTCAAAGTCTGGGAATTCCTGAAAAAAAAAAAAAACACAGCAAGACAAGTGAGAAGGAGAGAGGGAGGTCTTTTGGCCACTTGTGGCCTTCACAACCCAGGCACAAATCATAGAGGGACATGGCAATTGGAGTGACAGATGAACAATGCCCCCATTTTCCAACCCCCTGTGAACAGGCCCATCCATCACGGCTGGGGAGATTAATTCAATTCATCAGCTTTTTGTCTCCTTAGGCCCCCTAATGCCACCTGATATTGCTCAACGGGGACTTATAAATGTTTGTGGATTTGATCCGAGCTCGCTTGCTTGACACCGAATTAAAACATTACTCTTTACTCTTAGCACTCTGCTGGTTTTGCCAACAGCCTGGCAGCCACTTCTGCCATAATTCTGATCAAGATGAATTCTTATGAAGACGAAAATGTTTGCCAACGGCAGCCAGCGAGAGCATAAAGCAGTTTGGAAAGAGAGGGGAGGTTTGGTAATAGGGGGACTGATGGAAGCAAAAGAAAGTACCGGTCACAGGAAAAAAAAGCATTTAATGAAAAAGCTGTATCATTGTTATAAGGATTTTCATTTACATTTTATCAATGAACAGAGGAGGTACAGCACCTTCAGGCATGTTAGCAGAAGATTGTCACATCTTATTTGCACCAAGAGCAATTTATCAAGTTTTGGCCAAACAATTGATGAAAATGTTCACATGTATCATTATGAGACTTTAACAGTCATGTACATAAATACATGCAGGACTTAAACTGATCCTGAAGGCTTGTCATTTTGGAAACCCTAACACAAGGCTGCAGGGGTTCAATCTGATGATGTTAACATGATATCGATATGTGATACTAAAATACATTTACTGTAGTGCTACATAGCATTTACAAGTGTGCATTAGCTGCTGTGTTGGATTGGACAGGAAGAGCAAGACACAAAGCCAATGTTAGTGAGGACATCTAGTGGCCGGCTACTGGAATTATTTAAAGAGATGTAGCAAGTCAAAAGGTGAAAATGTTTATTTGTGAAAAGAAATATTTAGTTTTGTTTGAAAAATGGGTTTTATTTGAATATGATGACCAACCGTCTCAGTCAAACTGAGAAACATCCACAAGTTATGGGTTAGAACAGCGTTTCCAATACATGGAATATACTTAATGGTTTTTTTTGGTTGCTAAAAGAAGCCAGATACCACAACTGCCTGATTGTAATAATAACATGATCACAACTTTTAAACATCCAACTTATTTTAAATGCTTTAGTACATTAGAATACATAAAAAAGTATACTACTTTGAGAAAATGCATCATAGAGATAATATTCCTCAGCAGTTAGGAAGGTTTCCATCCAGTGAGAGGCTCTGGATGGAGAACTAGTGTCCCATCAGGAACTAACTGTGTTCGACTGGCACTCCCATTGATCCCCAGATCAATAAATAGCTGTTCTGGTGGCAAACTGATCAGTTAGAGCCACAAGTAAACAGCTGGACAGTGGAAAAGAGACATTAATGCATCTGTGGGTTTGAGTCAACATTTAGGACATGTATGCTAATGTTCGCAATAACATACAGACACCAAGAAAAAGCAAAAAAAAAATTGCTTTTCATTAATAAAAACAACTTCTGTACTTGTCAGTCAAAAGATGCTAAAACAAGCTGTGGTGAGGAGTGGCTTTACATTTACAAGGCATCAGATCCATTTCAGCCAAGGATAATCCATAAAACAACACTTGAAAAACCAACACTCAAGTTTTTTTTTTCTATACAAAGTTTACTTTATTCATATTCATGGATAGCCCCCCTTATGAGGCTGGTAGTGAATCCTGCCTCCTCTCCAGACACACAGGTAATAGGCCATGCTCAGAAATCCCACCACAGACACCAGCAGGATGGCTACTACCAGCACGATTTTCCACACCGACGATTCTTTTTCTCCTTTACTGGAATCTAACATTTTTTAAAAAAAGGACATTTCAAATGGGAACAATCTTTAGCAGAAATAATCACAACAAAAGCTCAGGTTTATAAACGGGCTAACCAACCCACCTTGCTCCTTCATAAGAGAAGGCCCTGGAGTAGTCGACAGCTTCCGGCCCGCCTTCGTCACCAGTCCAGACACTTCTCGTGGAGTTTCGGGCCATATGATCTTCCCTTCTTCTTGAAACGGGCCAAAAGCTTTGTTAAAATGGCTGTTGATCCATTGGTCCCGGTTGTGTCGAGGACTGGCTGTAGCACAAAGGTGACACATGCAACGTTAAAATAAAATATAACTCAGCTGATCAAACCTTCTGTCAACAGATACAATGCTCTTTCTTTTTTCTTACCTGGTTCACCACTTGACGTGGTCAAATTGGCCAGAAGCAGAAGAACAAGTGCAAACATGACTGTGCCGAGCAGCAGTTGGAGCTGCTTTGCTTTTTTATGTGGGCACTTCATCTGTGCAAGCGGCATCAGCTGTGTTCTCCAGACTCAATCAAGACAAATTGTGCTCTCAAATGGTCTGATGTCTTTTTGAGAGCTTCCATTTCATTGGCTAAGCAGTCCCTTGAATTACACCTCTTTCATCTCAAAGCGACAGTTGGTTAAGTAGAAAGCGCTCGCGCAAAGAGGAGGCTGTTGTACCGCCACTTGATTTCACTGCTCTTGTAGGACGGCCTTGCCACATATACGGTTTAGATAGCATTTGATTTTTTTTTTGTTAATCATTATTTCCCAACACTACATGGTGGCACCGAATCATTTGTTGTCAATATGTGTACTAAAAATGATGATGATTGCTGCAGGAATGTTAAAGAAAACACAGACTTGACAAGCAATAAAACACGACCAATCATTCAAGAAACGCACCGAAAATCAAGACATGATATAATTTATTTCACCACAGTTTCAGAAGTTCAGAGGTTACAGAGCATCAGGATCGCTGACTATCAGGTGACCACTCTAACGAATGGAGCTTTAACTTTAAACAGTTACTTTCACATTTGAAAAAATAATCTCCAGCTTGTGAACTAACAGAGTTTGAGGTTATACTATTTAAATTCTTTTCAGTTAAGGCTGAATATTCCCAGTTCTAAACACACTGTCAGACAGTCAAAAAAAAAAAAAAAAAGGAAATCATTCCTTTTGTTTTGCAGCATGCAACAGAACAGTAGAAATACAACAATGTGTAAAATCTGAAATGTTAAAATTGAAGAGAGAGATATTCACAAAGGAGGCACCAATGCACGTTTTTTTCTCCCAGGCGGATATTTTGACATGTCATAGCAGGAAAAGTGCTGGCAAAAATCAATGACATTTAAATGCAGTAGCTGGAGAATCATAGTTTTATCAACTGGCACACACACGCTGCAGGTAGACTGGTGTCTTTGGATCCTCTCCTGCTATGATAACTCAAACTATCCGTCTATATATGTACATGAGGTAAAAGTAAAGTATGTGCTTAAGTGAATGTGTGGTGTAATGGTAACCCGCTCTGAATAAACAAGTACTGTTGAAGCAGCCTTTAGCCTGATCTCGCTATTAAACACATTTACAAGTACCAGCCATTAATACATATGTGTTGTACTCCAGCATTTCTCTCAGCATGTCTCTCTCTCCGTGACGTGCGAACACATTAAACGAAGGTTATTGCTACAAATGGTGCACTGGTGTAACCTGACACACACACAAAAAAACTGACAACTATTCCCAGCATGTTCCTCATCTTAAACGTTACAGCACAGTAAACTGTAAAGCTACATATTTTTAGATTTCCCTTTATAATTCTAAAAATGTGCACAATATGTAACCACATACTTTATTTTTTAACGTGGGGAAACGACCCCCAACATCTTCTAAGCTCATTTATGCACACAGATGTTGTTTTTTCCCTTTGCATAGTTCAGCATGAGATACAGTATATATATATTTTGGCTCCTTAAACAAACATTATAGACGTACAGTATAGTGTATTTCTTAGTGAATCCCTTAAGCCTTTTTTTTTTTGCATATACTGGCCTTCACAAATGTTTGAGAAGTGCAACACTACATCTAATGTGCTAGTACTTTGGATTACAAATGTCTCCTCTTGTGCATCAGTGACATAAATCTGTTAAACATATTCACTGGTTGTATGCTGCCCTGCACCGCCTCACAGTAATCTGAAGTCAAGACATCTTTACTCTTTGTGCTGGAGAAATTTATATTTGTTCTACACACATTTGCTGATCTAAACCTGGCACATCTAACATTTCAAACCTACAATAAGTTACACTACTGTACATACTGATTCTATACTGTGTACAGAACCACGCAGGTCGTAACTGGTGCGGCGCAAACTCTCGATGAAAACCTCAGTGGCTTCCATGATCGACAACAAAGCAGAATAAAACAACAGAAAAGTGCATCAGAAGACGCTTCTTTTCTATTCCGAGTAACAGAAAAGAGAAATTTTAAATTGGTAACAAAAGAAGAAGGACATCGTGGCTTTTTGTCGTTACAGTACCGCTAAATATGGCTAACAACTACAGCAAGTGTGGGTTTGTATGTAACCACCGTTCTATCTGAACATAAAGCGATATCCTGCAAGCCCGAGTAATAGCTCTCAGCTGTAGCCCACCAGGGCAACCTTGGAGGCTTTTCTCTGTATAAAAGATCAGAAGAATATATCAGGACACTGTACGCCTGCCAAAGAAGCAGGAATTCACTGTGTCGAATGGAGTATTCATACAATTTTTATACTCTTACATTCCCATTTAGACATTTCGGTGTCGCTACCCAGATCGCCCTGAGATGTAAAAATTCAGTATCCCCCCCGAGGGGTGTTTCACACAGCAGGATTTTAATAACTTAACCTGGTATATAAATGTTAGGATTTTTCAGTACAGCTATTTTATACGTATGTTTGACTAAACTCTTTTTCCGTGACGGCCTTCTTTGCACATCTTCTGAATAATCAGCACATGAACTGGACCGATGTCAGGATGCCAGGAAAAGGACATTTGTGCTGCACCGTCCCTCCTTATTCGTGCTTCTCTCCCTCGTTGTAGACCTTCCGAAGGCTCGAGTCTAGCAGGAAATCCACTGACCTACAGGGCAGAAGCAGGAGAAACATTTTTTATGTGACACACACAGTGCAGCACATCTGAATACATTTCATAAAACAGAAGTGGTCTGCAAACACTTCTGCTTTCGAGAGCTGGTGTTATTTGTTATCTAGCAACAGAGCAGTGAAAATATCACCACTGTTGTTGATGATGATGCAACACTTGTCATAGATTATGGCTGCAAAATCCTACAAATAAACTGTGAGTACAGATGTTTCATTTATTTTCCTGCATAATTGATCGCAATACCAGACGTCAAATGGAAAACATGAAAGTCAGGGCACGTTTAAATATTCTGGTACCATGTAATTTTAACAAACATCTTCTGTTGTAAAATTTAGAGCCCATTGCGGAACACTAAATGCTGGAATGTCCCCGGTTGAGTAGCTGTTTGGTTTGGAGTTGTTATTATGGGACACGTGTCAAAGAAAATATGTTGGTGCTGCACTCTAAGCGCTCTCAGCCAAACACGAAGCTCTACACTAGTTTGGCATCGTTCTGAAAAAAACTAGTGAAGTGTGTGTTGTTTCTTTCATTTGTATGACTCTGAAGGACACATCTAGTGTTGTTCAATAGCTCTGCCTGTAAACAAATCCAAAGAGAAGACTACAGTTAAGCCAAAAATACAGCACTTTTGATTTCCCTACCTTGTTTGACAGTTTATTTTTTTTTTAAATAGCTGGTAGTTTTTAGCACCATAATCGCGATCATCACTAGAGAACAGCACATTCATTGGGGACTATTTTGATGTAATCCACAATGTTTGTTGGTGCAGTTGGGTTATAGTAAAGTTTTGGCCATTTTATTAGATTTACCAACAAGGAAACATCACCAGACATATCCTATCACACTATATACAGAACAGACAAGTGTCACGACATCATGTTGGAGCTGACCTAATGATCTTGTGTCCCACACAGCAGCTAAATCTACCGCTCATTTGTCGATGGTCGGAACCTTAGAATTAAATCTTGCGTAACAGTATCTTACATAATCCATGTACACATGCAAACAAAACACAACTTGCGCCAAACCTGTCTATTGGAGTAATGATGAAGGGGATGGTGGAGAGGCCTATAGCCGTAGTGGTCCACTTGCGGACGGACAGCGGCAACTTGGTGGTTCTGCCCAGCAGGTACAGCGACCCGGCGCACACGCGATTAATGGTGAAGCCGGGGATGATCACAGAGGCGAGGGCCTGCCACACAAACGTGTCCACCACCGCCGCCGCAACCCGTGTCGTCCTCCCTGGGTTGTCCCCATGGGCCTAAGGAACAGATGGAGGGAGAGAAAATGAGGGTAGAAACAGCTACCACAGGCTGGTTTTAGAAAAGAGAATGTTATCATAATATGGACCTGAATTTTTCTTTTTTGTTGCTCAGGATTTCATGTTTCTATTTTAAAGATTTGGGCTTGTAGCCAGTAAAACCAAACAATTACTTAAGTTATATATGTCAAAATAAAACTACTGAATGAAGCAGTAAAGGAATTCAATCCTGGTATAAAAAAACAGGGATTTAAGGTGAGTGAAGATGCATTTCTACCCCTTCATACAAGATAACACAAGTCTGACCATTATGATCATTAATGAAAATACCCCAAACAAACTGTAATATCCTACCTCAGCTGCTTTCTTCCCTTTGTCCACTGCATCAGCAGTAACATATGCAGTGGCCACAGCATAGCTGCCCCATACAAAGCTCACTGGCACCAGAGCACGGAAGGCCTCCCCGACCTCATTGGCATATCCTGTGGAAATACATACATAGATGAACATGAGACTTTAACCCTCTCAGCTTCCTCTAAATACATAATAGTCCTAGTTAGCCACACTGCTATCAGATGCTGAGGCTCAAGTCTATAAAAGAAACCATTAGTGCAAAACATTTATGAAAATAATAATCCATGTTTAGAGTCTTTCTAAGTAGTGAAGGAGTCCATTAAATATTCCAAAGCTCAATTACTGAGCAGCAGATCGCAAAATGGCAAAACATTATGAATGTGAAACTGTACTGTCAGTATTGTTAGCATTATACCCCGCAGTTTCCAGAACATACATCCTGACACATGCAAGCAGCTGATCAAGCTCAGCTTCATCTCTCACACTGTCTTGGTGAAAATGGAAAGCAGCATTTGGAAAATTATGCAATATCCATTCCATGAGGGCAGAACGACATAAATGTCCTTGATCCCCTTATTAAGGAGTCACCTGTGCCATATGCCACAGTATACATGTACATCACTGGTAAAATTAACTCCAGTCACACAGGGAGCATTATCTTTGGTTCAATGACAACAGAACCATCAGAGCGTGGTGGAGTCAAATTCTGCTGCGGCTGCGTGACTCCATCTCAGGTACTGCGGGCAAAACTGACACGACTGTTCAAATGCTGCATTTCAGAGAAAGACACGAGTCCATTAGAAGCAGTCGAGCCTTTTGAACACAGCTTGGTGACAGACTATTAGCTCCCCAGTAGTGGTCATTTACTGCATAAACAAGGTAATCAGTGGTAGCCTTGTACCACTTAATGCTTCGACTGACAACATGTCAAACAGGCCTCTGATCCAGATTACACATTTCGTAATTGTTTAGTGGATAATAGACAGATCAAATGTGTTGCTACGGCTACAATAAACCAGCATCTCATTCAGTTTGGCAAAGCCTGCATGATGAAAAATAACATTAAGTACATATTAAGATTAAATAAAAAGAAGCACATTAATGTAAAGAAATAAAACATCAGTGATCCTGGAGTGAGCCTGTGCAGTAGGTTTAAAAAAAACTGTCTCCTGCCCCCTTAAGAAGCCTGTATTCTCTCTTGTATGCATGTCCTCCACAATGTTAAGGTGCATTTCAGGTGAGACTGAGTCATATCAGCTCCTGAACGTGTTTTGTTTTTTTATTATGCCTATGCTGATGAACCACGGTGCAAAAAACCACCTCTGCACTATTTATATACGGTGTTAAGGGCTCTTACTTCTGAAGAATTGAAGCTTTTTTTCCCCCGTCTGCTTTAAGGATGTGCGTAAATGTAGTCTTCAGTGGGAACAACACGCAGGAATGAATCATACTTCCTCCTCAGTAGTGAATATCTCAGATGGAGGTACTTTCCTGCTGCACAATGCTCACTAAAAACTGTACTGAAAACTGTGAAAGGGGAGCGGCAAGTGAAACACAATACACTCTCAACGTGTGTTTAACCAAACGTCGTGATGTAACGAAGAGAAAAAGAATTAAATCTGAATAGTAGAAAAAAAAAAACTATGTACCACTAAACATTTACCACCGTACGAGTGAAATTAACGGTTGGGTCAACTGCTGGATCGGGAGATTCAGAAGGTCAGGGAGGGCTAGTAAGGTGCTAAGAGCTTCTACTTGTATAATGATGTACGATAACAAGGGACGTATAGATAGGCTTATCCTCCAGCAATGCATTTAGCTAATGAGGAAATACGCTGTGCCCTGGTGGAATAGACTGCAACTGGCCCTGTTTGCCCTTTTTGCTCTGTGCCCAGTAAGGCATGAAAAGAGAAAGAGAGAGAGTGTGTGTGTGTGTGTGTGTGTGTGCGTGTGTGTGTGTGTGTGTTCGTGTTCAAAAGGTGTTGAAGCAAGTAGAAGCAGAAACATCACAGATAAGGAATCCAAATGCTGAAGAAGACAGAGCAGGGCTAGATGATAAAAGAGAGCTTCAGAGATGACCAATAACAGTGACTGATGGCCAGACAACACAACGAGCACATCCAATCTCAGATCTACTGCTGCACGCTTCTGCTGTTATATATCTACCGTGGATTTTAAAAGTGACCTGAATTCATCTACGAGGACATCAGACAAACATGTCTTTGCTTCATTCTGCCGCCAAAACACTTGGGTTGAAAAAGCATCAGACCCATCAAGCTGGAGAGGCAAGATATTAAGAAAAAACTGTCATGGTGATATTTTCTACTATGTACATATATGTCACAGTGCAAATTAAAATCCCGGCGGATTTTAATTTTGCCGAGGCGAGATTGAAATTTTGATTTGGTCTAGGCAGAACTAAAGTTTTGATTTTGCCTAGACCAAATTAAAATCCTTCATCATAATTAGATTGTAATCCTGCCTGGGCAAAACTAAAATTTGGCAGAATTTAGCTTCTTTTAGGCAGAATTTAAATTTAAATTTTGTCGAGATCAAATTAAAATCATCCTTATAACAAATTGAGATTGTAATCCAGCCGAAGCAGATTTAAAATTTGACCACATCAAATTAAAAATCTGAATTAAATCAGAATTATAAGATTAATTTCACCTAGACCACATTGAAATCATTCATATATATGTAGTATTTGTACCAGTCTTGTGTGACTGTTAAACATTACAAAAGATGTGTCACACGTCTTCATTTGTATTTGAATGAAAATGTTGGTGTGACCCTTTAATGGTTACAGCATTAAAGAATGTGAGGTTCACACACATGGTGACGTGTGGAGATCATATCAGATTAACATCTCGCAATGTGTCACAGCTCACTACATATTCAAAGAATCTCTTCTTATGTACTTGAATGAAAATGTTGGTTCTGTCTATGCAGATGTAAAATTTGCCCAGGCAGGATTACAATCTCACAATGATATAAGAAGGATTTTAATTTGGTCTAGGCAAAATCAATACTTTAGTTCTGCCTAGACCAAATCAAAATTTTAATCTCGCCTGGGCAGATCCAAAATCCACCTGGATTTTAATTTGGACTGTGACATATATATGTTTTGATCTGAAAAAATTAAGAACCTTTCAATCCAGATAGAATTAATCACTCTAGAATAATTGTGGTGATTTTGTAGGAGAGTGCACTTGCATAGAAAATACCAAAAACTACAAAAAATAAAACTGAGAAAAGCAGAAAAAAGCTGTTTGAAACCTGTCTTGGCAACCAAAACAGTTTTTTTGCTTTGGACTGCATTCAGATTCTGGCTTCGCTTTGTACTCGTCATACAGAACTTTGTGCTGCAGACGTTTATTATCTAACAAATTAGTCATGTTGACTTGTGTATTTAGTAACAGTCACAAGACAGTAGCGACAGACTACCTGTTATTGGTCAACATCATCCTTTCTGTAGTTGGAATACTTCTGTTCAACTGATGCTGTGTTTCTTTTCACAAGCAAATATTTCTTTTCAGTGTTTCTCTCATCTGTTG